AAGCAGGTAATTTGAGCCAAATTAGTCTTGTTGCAGAAAAAAGAAAGTGCCAAAAGTAACATTTGCGTAATATAGAGAAACATAAAAGACATCTTTCAGTAGCCATAGGTAACCCAATTCTTGTCTGCATCCATTTCATCCAAATGTGTAACCCGGTGTGCAGTACAAACCAGGAATGGACTGAAAATCAACCCTGTATCTCCACAAACCTGTTCAGACCTTTAATAAGTTTGCTGAAAATGAATTTCATTATTCCTTCTATTTTGGAAATATCCTGTTGTTTTAATTTTTATATATAAATATTTTACTACTATAGTACTTTTTAAATTCAGGAGACCATTTGCAATTATGGCAGAATTACACACAGCTGGCTGGAAAGAATGCCTACTCAGGTGAGTGTCCAATGACCTTGCTTATCACCCCTTTTATAAGGGAATATAACCTTCAGCAAGCCCAATTGTGATGACCGTTTGTAAGCAGGCACAGCTGGAGTCATGAAGATGGTAGTTCTTTGACTCAGTGAGTGCTGTGCAGCACCACTGTATTAAAAGAACAGGGATTAAGATAATATAATGAATTAGCATTACCCATGTACACACTGTGTATTAAGTTCCCAGGTAGATCTTATAGAAAACATAAAATCATTCAAATCTTTTACTTCATGTAGTTCAGAGTGTCTATCAAAGAAGGTGTATAAACACAAAGTAAAGAGAAGCAACTAGCACCCAACCTCCAGCATAGTTACTTAAGGAAAACTGTGCTAAAACCCTGCTCAGATTTTAATAAACACTTTTAATAATACTTATGAACAAATTTATCAAGAAATTAAGATTTTATGTCCTTTTAAATTCAGGAGACCATTTGCAATTAGGGCAGAATTACATATAGCTGTCTGGGAAGAATGGCTGGATACTCAGGTGAGAGTTCAATGACCTTCCTTATCTCCCCTTGAATGAAGGAATATAACTGTCATCAAGCCCAGTTGTGGTGACCTTTTGTAAGCAGGCACAGCTGAAGTCATGAGGATGGCAGTTCTTTGACTCAGAGAGCCAGAGAGTGCTGTACATGGATTAAGACACTATAACGAGTTAACATTACCCATGTACACACTATGCTTTAAGCTGCCAGGCAGACCTTATAGAAAACATAAAATCATTCAAATATTTTACTTCATGTAGCTCAGAGATTA